ATTTGAGTTTTATTTTATCGGTAACTATTTTATAAGCTTTTCCCCAGATATCCCTGTCTAAGTCGGCACAAAGCGTCTTCCAGCATGCTCTCTTTTGTTTTAGTATAGCATTTTTTAGTTCTTGTTTTGCTTCATTGTATTCGCTTTTGGCCTGTTCTTTATCGCCTGCAGTTGCATTGTTTCTTACGTTAAGTCGCGTCATCTTTCTTCTACATCTTATACAGATTTTTCTTTTTTCTGAAATATCTGAGGTCCACCAGTATTTAGGAGAATGACGTTTTGTAGGTGCTATCTTACTAAATGTTTTGTTGCAGATTACTGAGACTTTTTCCACTAGCTTCTCTGCTGCCTCGTTTGCCATTTCTTCAGTAAGTTCTAAACTTTGGGCCATTTGTATTAGTTTTTCGACTCCTGTTGAGTTAATTTTCCATCTATTTGCAGCTTCTGTTTTACCTGGGATCCTTGTGTCTCTAACTTCGAACTTTATTGTCCGGTGGTTACTCATGTTCTCCTCATCTGTATGTACTTTCCAATTCTTTACGTATTGACAAGTATTTAGCGTTGCGAGTGTCACATCGATTATGGAGCTACCGTTCGCATTCTGAAAAGTCGGAGTATTTCCTTCATTGATAATCACGAGTCCATTTGTTTCTATGAATTCTTCTAGCGGTTGACTTCTCGCATTTGTTACTCGTGATCCCCAAGCCATTGATTTAGTATTAAAATCCCCTGAAATTATCTTTTCTTTATCTCTTACGGTGTCTAAATGAGTTTGGAAGGTATTAAGGTATTCTTCAAATTCTTCTAGTGGCTTGTTTGGTGAAAAATAGCAGGAATATACATTTATTTTTTCCAGTTCCAGTCCAATAAATCCTTGACCTTCATGTATTTTGTAGATTTTTATATCTTTGTTTAAAATTATAAAGCAGTCATTTTTCTTATCGCAAAATATTTTATTTGTTCTCTTGCTGTTCGGTTCTTGTCCCAAGACTATGTCTATTTTATCTTCGTACATTGCTTGCTCTAGAAGGTCGTGGGCGCTGCTATGTCTATCTACATTTATCTGTACGAATTTGATTGTTTTTTTATTTGTTTTACTGTTCCAAGCCATTTTGGGGATTTGAAAATACATCGTTCTCAATTGCTTGTTGTGGATGATTTTTATTTTTTGTACATTTACGGTTTCCCGTTTGGTGTCCCTCTTGTTTGCAATTTATACAATATGCTTTATTTTGACATTCATTTGCCTTGTGTCCCTCTTTGGAGCATTTCATGCAGCTATTTTCTCTGTCTTGTCCAGTGCATTTCTCTCTTGTATGTCCATACTCCCAGCAACGGTAGCATTTCAATTCTTTTTTTCTCTCCTCAATCCGACATTGTGTCCAACCTACTTTCAGCTTCCGTTCCCGATTTAGTTTATTTGCGCCTTCTTCTGTTATGACCACTGTTGCATTTTGTAAGCCACTGTGCGAGGGTCTTAGTGCTCTTACTTCAAAACTACCTGGGTTTACGTTTATTTGACTGGCTATCGCTTCCCTAATTTCTTCTATAGTTATTGTCTCATCTAGGTCTCTAATGTGAAGGATCTTTTTATTTAGCAATAGGGATGTCTTAGTTTGTGGGAGCTTCTATCTATCTATCTATCTATCTATCTATCTATCTATCTATCTATCTATCTATCTATCTATCTATCTATCTATCTATCTATCTATCTATCTATCTATCTATCTATCTATCTATCTATCTATCTATCTATCTATCTATCTTTTTTTTTTTTTTTTTTTTTTTTTTGTCGGGTGAGGAACATTTTATATGCCGGCCCCTGCGCTTGGGATCTGATGTTAAATCTATCGCGACAGGGAGTGTGGGACTACCAGGGCTCTCTGGGTGCAAGTCCCTGTTTACCCACTAAACCTCACCTCATATCCCTACCTTCCTTTTCTGGAACCGCTCTCGCATTACTTCGGAAAAGGAGGTTGTCTTTGGTATCTGGTTTTCTCAGTGTCTACTGTCTTCTTCTTTTGTCTCGAGAATCGATCGTACTGTACTGTAGACTGCTTTCCATCCTGCTTCAGAATCCAGTAAGCTGACTGTCAAATTTTCTGGGTTAAAGGTATACCCCATTGCATCTTCGAATAGTCTTCGTTGATGTTCCCACTTAGAGCATATAAATAGGGTGTGTTCCGCATCATCTATTTCTTGACAGTACCTACAACTGTCGGTTGCTGCTCGGTTCCGTTCGAAAAGGTATTTGTTAAAACCTCCATGGCCTGTGAGGCCCTGGGTCAGCCAGTAGTCCACCTCGCCATATGCTCTATTCATCCAGGTTTCAATGCTGGGAATAAGCCTCCAAGTCCACCTCCCTTTACTGCTCCGATTCCACGAATCCTGCCACTGCTCCATCAGGTTTTCTTTGGCAACTTTTTTTGAGACACCTTGATATGTTTTTGTCCTTTCTTCGATCAAAAATTTGATTGGCGTGACTCCTGCTAATACACATGCTGCCTCAGACGACACTGTTCTATATGCGCTGCAGATCCTTAAGCTTACGTTTCTTTGTACTCTCGTTAGTTTTAATAGGAGATTTTTGTTGTTGGTTACTCTATTCCATATCGGTGCTCCATACAGTAGCTGAGAATGAATAACACTACTGAGTGTACGTCTTTTAGATTCACGCGGGCCTCCGATATTAGGCATGAGGCTGACGAGTGCAGTAGTTGTTTTACCTGCCTTCTCTATTGTGCGTGCTACATGTTCTGAGAAGCTTAATTTTGTATCTAACCACACACCCAGGTATTTAATGGCTTTGCTGGGAGTTACTATTGTACCCCGTAGGGTAAATTCTATTTGTCTAATTTTCCTCTTTTTGGTTAGCAATACACATTCTGTCTTCTCTGGTGCAAGCGTTAGGCTGTTATTGTCCATCCACGTGCCACTCTTTCCAATGTGACATTTACTACATTCATGAGTTCTTCTTCACTTTTGGCTGCTACCACCACTGCAACATCATCTGCAAACCCAACTAGTTCTGCCTCCCCCGGCATCTTTAATTGCAGTAGCGGATCGTATAGGACGTTCCAGAGTGTGGGTCCTAAGACTGATCCCTGTGGAACTCCACTGTTGACATCTGCGTTGGTTTTATCGGTAGAATTTTCTATAATTATGTTTCTTTTAGAAAGATAAGAAGCTAACAGGCATATTAGGCTTTCATCTATTTTTCGTCTTCTTAGCTCATTTAGAATAATCTGCCAAGATGCACTATTAAATGCATTTCTTACGTCAATAGTGATGACTGCGCATATTCTTCTATGGGCGGCCGAGTAAGATTCTGCTTTTTCCACTACTTTTAGAATTTTGCCTATTGCATCAATAGTTTGTCGTCCTTGTCTAAATCCGAACTGGTTTTCTGACAGGTCTCCAGTTCTTTCCAGCTCTTTCTTTAGCCTTATTAATATCAGGTGCTCATAGAGTTTACCTTCAACGTCCAACAAACAGATTGGTCTGAACGACGATGATTCTTCTACGGGTTTGTCTCCTTTTCTGATTAGTATGAGCTTAGCCGTTTTCCATTTCTCCGGGAATGTACCTTCGGTTGCAAGCTGGTTATATACGGATAACGCATAGTCTGGTCTAGCTTCTACTAAGTACTTTACAATCTCTGATGGGATATTTCCTGGACCTGGGGCTTTGTTTGTTTTTAATTTCGAATTCGCTTTAAGGATTTCATCCATAGTAAATCCGGTGAATTTAACAGTTTCATCACATTCGAAAGTTACTGCCGGGTGAGTTGGGAATAGGCATTTCACAACATCCATCATCGCGTGTATTGTCATATTAATCTTTGGTGGATACCCTATTAGACCCCTCATGACGATTTTATATCCGTCTCCCCAGACATTTCTATCGACACTTTCACATAAGACTTTCCAGCTTAATCTTTTTGCTTTCTTTATGGCATCTCCTAATTTTTTCTTGCTCGTCTTGTACTCTTCCCAGAGTTGGTGTAACAGGTCTGGTGTTTGTCTTGGTCTTTGTCTAGTGTATTGTCTTTTCTTTTTTATACACGCAGTTCGAAGATGACCTATTTCTTCGTTCCACCAATACATTGGCTGTCTGTCGGTTTGTGTCCTCCTTCTTGGCATTGTCTTATCGCATATCAGCCTGAGTGTATTTGAAAGATGGTTTGCCGCATCTGCCAATCCCGGAATTTCGATTTGATTTACTAACTGCTTTAGTCTGTCTTTGTTTAATTTTCTTATTTGCCAACCGTGGACTTTTGGTGCTGGAGGTGTAGGTTTTTCTTCTACAACGTCAAATGTAATGTAACTGTGGTCGCTCAGAGATTCATGGTCGCTTACTTCCCATCCTGCTACCAGTGGGCTTATATTTGCTGTTGCAATGGTTAAGTCCAGAATAGAGGAGTAGTTTTCCCTGTGAAATGTTGGTTTGTTTCCTCTGTTTATTAACACAAGATCATTTGCGGCTATCCACTCGGTTATAATCTGACCCCTCTCGTCCGTTCTATCCATTCCCCACTGTGAAGACTTCGCGTTGAAATCACCCGTGATGATGGCCCTTTCTTTTTGTATTCTGATGTTTCTGCCTATAGCGAACAGGGTTTCTTCCAGCTTTTCAATGGTGTCATTACCAGAACAGTAACAGCTATATATTGTGTAGCTTGCAGTTGAAATGGAGCAATAGCCGGGACCTTGACCATGTTTCTTAATTATGAGACTAGTATCAATGATTTTGATGGCTGTATCAATTTGTCTATCTTTAACCCAGTCTTTCCTGTACTTGATCGCGTTTACGTTCGGCTCACTGATTGTTACTATTGATGCCCCTATCTCTCTGGCGGTAGCTAGGGCTAGATCATGTACTGGTCGGCTTCTAAAGGTGTTGATTTGAAGGACCCTCACCATGGATATTTAGTGTTGTTTCCTCCGGCTTCATCTTAATTTTGCATTTAAAACTACTGGTTTGGTGTCCTTCCTCGTTACATGTCATACAGTACGAGTTGTTTTGGCAATCCTTGGCTTTATGTCCTTCCTTTGCACATTTTAGGCATAGGTGTTCTCTATTTGGACCCTGGCAGTCTGATATGTTATGTCCTGGTTCCCAACATCTAAAGCACCTTGTATCCCGTTTTTTCTCGAAGATTCTACATTGGGTCCATCCTATTTTAATCTTCTCTTTGCTTAGTAGAATACTAGCATGTGGTTCATTTATTATGACCCTTGCATTTTGTCGATTTCCAAATGCAGGGTTTAAGGCCTTTATTTGGAATACATCTTGGTCGCAAGCAATCTCTTTACTTATGGCTTCTCCTACCTCCTCTTCTGTAGTCGCTCCATCAAGATCCTTGATAAGTAAAACTTTATTATTTTTAATATGGGATGATGTCACGCCCGGGAGCTTACTTTTTATTTCATTCTGTAGAATTTCTGCCTTCGGCCCGTTTTCCACCAGTAACAGAACATCCCCGTTTTTTGTTTTCTTGATGGACTTTACATCTACACCAATCTCGCCTGGTTTTACGGTTTCTCTTAGAGTTTTAAGCAGTTCTGCATAAGATTTGTTTGCCATTTTAACTACCACCGGTTCATACCTAGGCTTGGCTCTCTGAGCGTCCAAAAATACATCATCGTTTATGGTACTGGTACGTCTATGTGAAACTGTCGATTGAAACCTGTTTCGTGTATTGTTCTTGACATTTTCATTTCCGTTATACATAACCACTTCTATGCTGGAGTCCGTAAAGAGGTATTCAGCAGTCCTTGTTAAAATTATTCCACTTGGTCCATCTAGTTTGGGAATGGCAATCTTAAGTCTATTGGCTGCAACAGCCATCTGTTTAACTATCTTCATGGCTGTAAATACACTTTGGTCATCGATATCTAAGTATGCCTGGCTGTTGCTGATTGGGTAATATACTCCTCTAGTTTTGTAGGTAAAGTTTCCATCTACATCTGGAAATCCTAGGGAATGCATCATTCTAGCGACCTCACCTTTTTGTTTTCTTTGTCTCATAAGCTCATCTTTACCCCCTAGCTTGTTGATGGTTATCCCGACATCTTTTTGATTCGTCTCCAGGTTTTCGTTGCTGGGTAGGACTATGTCAAATTCGTATGGGGCATCCCGAATATATCCTTGTACGGATTTCACTCTAGGAAATATTCCGCTGGTCCAATCTTCTTCTTTAATACTTTGGAAGTTTTCAAACGTTTCTTCCTGGGTATACGCTATCCTTCTTGCTAGTCTACCTTCCAGTTGCTTGCATTTAGGGCACCTTATACTGTCCAGATCCTCGGGGCGTGCTTGGAGTGTATCTTCCAATTTTTGTTCCATAAATCGTAGTTGCTTCTTCATATTTTTATTTTCATTAACCCACTTTTCTTCCATAGCTAGAATTTTTGTTTCGTGTGCAGCTTCTTCAATCCAGTTCTTTAGTTCTTGGCTTTGTAATTTTTCTACCTGCAGAACCATCTTACTAACTGCCTCTTTAATTTCCTGCTTAGGCTTATACATGTCGTTTAGTACTTTCTCCATGCTGTAAACTTGTTCAATCATTTTCCCTACTATTTCTTTATACGTTATTCCCACTTTTTTCTTTTCTGTCGAATGTTCAGTTTTCTTTCTTTTGGTCTGGTGTTCGACTAGGTTATTATCTTCTGGTTCACTAGTACTTTTCTGAGTATCTTTGGTCTTCTTTCTCCCTAATGGTGGGCTCCTTCCAATAGAGTCTTTCCTTGCAAAAGGGTCTTTCATGTTCGTAGTACTTTTACTCATACTCACAGAACGATTTCTTATCGCATCTTCTTTTAAACCAGTATTTTGGATACTCTCAATAGCCTGGTTTGTCACTATTGAAGAGCCGCAGTAGCTAGCTGACGGTCCAGTGAGGCCTGCTCCAACACCTACATCCTGGACCGGTACTGGGGATCCGACTCCCTGCACCGTAAAAATGAAATCTTCTTTCGAACCCATTTCATTGTCTACTTTAGGGCTAATCAAGTGACGTAATCGCCCATGGTACGTCACTGGTTTTTCTGTCGGGGTTTTCCTTCCCTTAGCCGATGGGTCCCCGTTTTGTGGCGCCGGGAAGTCGCCATTCGCCCTCCCGTTTCAGGGTCGGACTTGCCGGTTTGCTTTATTAGCAGGGCAGATGTTCTTCAAATGGTATTTGTTGGTGTCACCTAGTCGACATCAGTGACGCCACCAGTACCCAACCGACCATTTTGAGCTGTTTCTCGGCTTCGCTACCCATTCCCGTCCCGTTGGGCTCGAGAACGGGGAGCTACTGAGCCACTCCACCACGGCAAGGTCTTACAGCTCCTAGGAGTGGATCTATCTATCTATCTATCTATCTATCTATCTATCTATCTATCTATCTATCTATCTATCTATCTATCTATCTATCTATCTATCTATCTATCTATCTATCTATCTATCTATCTATCTATCTATCTATCTATCTATCTATCTATCTATCTATCTATCTATCTATCTATCTATCTATCTATCTATCTATCTATCTATCTATCTATCTATCTATCTATCTATCTATCTATCTATCTATCTATCTATCTATCTATCTATCTATCTATCTATCTATCTATCTATCTATCTATCTATCTATCTATCTATCTATCTATCTATCTATCTATCTATCTATCTATCTATCTATCTATCTATCTATCTATCTATCTATCTATCTATCTATCTATCTATCTATCTATCTATCTATCTATCTATCTATCTATCTATCTATCTATCTATCTATCTATCTATCTATCTATCTATCTATCTATCTATCTATCTATCTATCTATCTATCTATCTATCTATCTATCTATCTATCTATCTATCTATCTATCTATCTATCTATCTATCTATCTATCTATCTATCTATCTATCTATCTATCTATCTATCTATCTATCTATCTATCTATCTATCTATCTATCTATCTATCTATCTATCTATCTATCTATCTATCTATCTATCTATCTATCTATTATTATTATTGTTGTTATTATTATTATTATTATTATTATTATTATTATTATTATTATTATTATTATTATTATTATTATTATTATTATTATTATTATTATTATTATTATTATTATTATTATTATTATTATTATTATTATTATTATTATTATTATTATTATTATTATTATTATTATTATTATTATTATTATTATTATTATTATTATTATTATTATTATTATTATTATTATTATTATTATTATTATTATTATTATTATTATTATTATTATTATTATTATTATTATTATTATTATTATTATTATTATTATTATTATTATTATTATTATTATTATTATTATTTTTCTTTCTTCTCCGATTTCGTTGTTTTTCGGGTATATTTCGTCTTCTTCCAAGAAACTGCCTGTTTCCTCAGGTAGAGACTCTTCTGTTACAACTATGTTACTACTTTTCTTAATATGTGTGCTGTGCCTAATACTGTTGTTTTTTGTAGCTGGTATGTTGTTTTATGGTCAGCGTTACCAGGTATAGTTTTAAGAATATTTGTTCCTGTTGCTCCTATGATGACCGGTAATATTGTAGTTTTTAAGCCCCACATCCTACTTAGTTCTATTTGTAAATCTCTATATTTCAGTCTTTTTTCTGCTTCCTTTTGAGTAACTGAATTATCCGATGGTATTGCCACATCTATAATATAGCAGACTTTTTGGCCTAGGTCTTTGATTATTATATCTGGCTTATTGGCATTAATTGTTCTGTCTGTTTGTACTTGGGTGTCCCAGAATATTGTTATGTCATCTTTGGTTTCGACGCTTTTAGGAATATGGTCGTACCAATTTGTTTCCGTAATTATTTTGTAGTGTTTGCATATATTATAGTGCAAGCTTGTACATACTTTATTGTGGCGGGTAATGTATTCTTTGCTGGCTAATATTGGACACCCTGTCATTATATGCCTTACGGTTTCGTCATATTGCTTGCAGATACGACATTTTGGATCTACATCTGCTTTATGTATTCTTTTTTTTATGTAGTTTGTAGTTATTGCTTGATCTTGGGCTGCGGTTATTAGTGATTCGGTTTCTCCTTTGATGGATCCGTGCTTTAACCAACTGAATGTAAGTTCTTTGTTAATATTTTCATTTTTCATTTCTCTTGCATATTGCCCGTGCATTGCTTTGTTTGTGTATTGCTCTTCTCTCTTTTGTACAATTTTTCGTGTAATCTGTTTTTTTAGTATTTTAACATTTTCTGTCACTGTCTTTTCATTGTCTATATTTATATCCTCTTCGGTGTTTTCACGGATCAGTTTTCTTCCACGTTTAAGAATTGATTTTTCCGTTACTAGCTCTTCTTCATATTCTTTTAGTATTGATATGAGTCCGTCCTCACTCTTTAATTCTATATATTTTGCTAGTCCGATAATTGTTAATTTATAAGTTTCTTCAATGCTTGTTAAACCTCGGCCTCCTGATTGCCTGGGAAGGTATAGCCTATCTACATCTGCTCTTGGATGTAGTAAATTATGGATCGTCAGTAATTTTCTTGTTTTGGTATCTATCTTCTGAATATCTGTTTCTTTCCAATTAAGAATACCAAAGCTATAGCCTAGTACCGAGACTGCAAGTGTTCCTATTGCTGTGAATTTGTTTTTACCCGTTAATTGGCTATTTAAAATCCACCGGACTCTTCTATAGTATTCTCTGGATACTTTCCTTTTCATATTTTCGTGCTCAATATCATCTTTTTCTTCTACTCCCAGGTATTTGTAGGGCGTATTTCCCGCTAGCTCTTTTTTTCCGTGTCTTTATCTAATATTACGCTTTCTGTTGTTTTTACCTTTCCTCGCTCTATGGTTATTTTTGCACATTTGTCTGTTCCAAATGTCATTCCAATATCGTCGCTAAAATCTTTTACTATTTTTATGAGGTGTTGTAGTTCTTCGTTATTTTTAGCAAATAGTTTTAAGTCGTCTACATAGAATAAATGATTTATTTGTTTTTTGTTATTCTTTATCTTGTATCCTTTATTTGTTTCATTTAGTTCACTTGTCAGTGGAAATAAGGCCATGCAAAAGAGTAATGGCGATAACGAGTCTCCTTGTAAGATTCCTTACTTAATATTGATTGATCCAATGTCCATTTTTTCGTTTTCTGTATTTAAAATCAAGTTAGTTTTCCAGGTATCCATTGCTCTTTTTATAAATTGTATAAGGGACTTGTCGATTTTACATATGTTCATTATTTCTATTAACCAAGAATGAGGGACACTATCAAAGGCTTTCATATAATCTATCCAACCCATACTGAGGTTTTTGTGTTGCCTCTTGGCGCTATCAATTATCATCTTGTTAATCAGTAGTTGATCCTTACATCCATAACTATTTTTCATGCACCCTTTTTGTTCACTGGGAAACATTTTGTTTTCATCTAGATGTTTGTAAATTCTTTCACTAAATATCGCTGTTATGTTTTTGTAGATCGTTGTCAGGCACGTAATTGGTCTATAGTTCTTTTCTTGAGCTGTATTGGTGTTCTTAGGTATTAAAAACGTAGTGCCTTTTGTTAACCATTCAGGGATAGGTTGGTTGTTTTTGATTAAGTCATTGTATATCCTAGCAAGTACTTTATGGACAGCTGTAAAATTTTTGAGCCAATAGTTTTGAATTCCATCTGGCCCCGGGCTTTTCCAATTAGATGATTTTTGTAATATTTCTCGAACTTCTTTCTCCGTTATATCTATCCAATTCATTGTTTTTACCTTCCTATTTCTAATGGTCTGCCTTTTTATCCATTTCGCCTCTCTTTTGTGTTGTTTTTCTTGTTCCCATATGTTGCCCCAAAATTTTCTCACTTCATTTGTGTTAGGTGGGTTGGATACTATTATGCTTTTATCTTGTGTAGTTCGGTAAAATTTTGATGGGTCTTCCACAAATATTTTGTTTTGCCAATGGAATAGGTTTCGGTTGTTATACCTTCTTATTCTTTGTGCTTTCGCTTGCACTTTTTGTTTAAGTATTTCTATCGTTTTAGTTTCATCCTCGCTATTTTGTATTTTATATTTTCTATAAAGTGTATGATATATGTGCCTAAGCCTATCTGTTTTTACGCCTTGTCTTATTTCAGAAAATTGAGATAACTCCTTTCTTATAGTCTCGATCTGTCTTTCTATTCGCAGTTTCCATCTAGGCTCTTTATTTTTAAATGTTTTCTCTTTTGTTTCGACTTTAAGCTCTCTACTGGCTATTACTGCTGTAGCATATATTAGAGTGTTAATTTCTGTTATTGTTATTTTTTTATTATTTTCGTCAAATATAATTTTTAACGCTTGATTTAGCAAGTGTAATGTTTGTTTTGTTTCGTAATTGCTTTTTAGTTTTGGTAGCTTTTGTCGTTTGATATTCCATTGCTTTGGTATCTCTTCTTTAATTTTTAAAATTAAAGTGTTTACTTTTGAATCATTTGAGTGTTCACTGTTTGACTTATTTTGACCTGTTTGTATTTCTTGTTTTCCTTTAGGTACGTCAGTGTCTTTACTTCTTTGATGGTGGTTGACCAATTCTATATCTAAAGCTGTTTCTTGTGCGGTATTAATGTCTTGGAAGTTCATCTCTTCCATTTGTGATCTATTATGTTTTTCTTCCGTTTTATTTTCCCTGTCATTGTTAGGTTTTTGTTCCACCTTTTTGCCTTTTATTTTTTCTAAAATTTTATCAATTTCAGTCTGGGATAGTCTTTTCTGCTGTATTATTTGTCGTCTTTGGTTAGCTAATGTTATTGCATTTAGATTAGGACGAGAGCTTGGGTTGCGGTTTCTCCACATTTCATAGTTTTTCTGCGTATTTCCAGTTCCAGTTGTTTCCAATATGTAGTAGTAGCATAGCATAACTTCTTTGCATTCTTCGTGACTCCATTTGCTTCTATTTTGACTTTGCTTACTCCTATTGTCTGTTTCTTGCGTTTTATTTTTGTTTAATTTTCTTTGAATTCCACTAGGGCCCGATTGAGAATTCTCGTTCGGGTACTCTAGTGAATTGCTAAGCGGAGTATTTTGATCTTTATTATTTCTAGTTAGTGTCAAATTGTCCCCCCCAGAATCCATGGGACAGACCGTTGATCCGGTGCAAGATTTTGAGATGTGTTCTCTACTTGCCTGGGGTAGTTCCTCTTTTTGTGTTTTGTTCGACATTTTAACTAGGTTTGGTGAAATGAATGGTAAGGAGAAGGGTTAAAGGACAGCGGGCAGCCGCTCCAGTTAGTCGCCTTTTACGACAGGCAGGAGATTCCTTGGGCCTATTCTTTTTTATTCCCGGCACCCACACGGGTATTATTATTATTATTATTATTATTATTATTATTATTATTATTATTATTATTATTATTATTATTATTATTATTATTATTATTATTATTATTATTATTATTATTATTATTATTATTATTATTATTATTATTATTATTATTATTATTATTATTATTATTATTATTATTATTATTATTATTATTATTATTATTATTATTATTATTATTATTATTATTATTATTATTATTATTATTATTATTATTATTATTATTATTATTATTATTATTATTATTATTATTATTATTATTATTATTATTATTATTATTATTATTATTATTATTATTATTATTATTATTATTATTATTATTATTATTATTATTATTATTATTATTATTATTATTATTATTATTATTATTATTATTATTATTATTATTATTATTATTATTATTATTATTATTATTATTATTATTATTATTATTATTATTATTATTATTATTATTATTATTATTATTATTATTATTATTATTATTATTATTATTATTATTATTATTATTATTATTATTATTATTATTATTATTATTATTATTATTATTATTATTATTATTATTATTATTATTATTATTATTATTATTATTATTATTATTATTATTATTATTATTATTATTATTATTATTATTATTATTATTATTATTATTATTATTATTATTATTATTATTATTATTATTATTATTATTATTATTATTATTATTATTATTATTATTATTATTATTATTATTATTATTATTATTATTATTATTATTATTATTATTATTATTATTATTATTATTATTATTATTATTATTATTATTATTATTATTATTATTATTGTTATTATTATTATTATTATTATTATTATTATTATTATTATTATTATTATTATTATTATTATTATTAATATTATTGTTATTATTATTATTATTATTATTATTATTATTATTATTATTATTATTATTATTATTATTATTATTATTATTATTATTATTATTATTATTATTATCATTATTATTATTATTATTATTATTATTATTATTATTATTATTATTATTATTATTATTATTATTATTATTATTATTATTATTATTATTATTATTATTATTATTATTATTATTATTATTATTATTATTATTATTATTATTATTATTATTATTATTATTATTATTATTATTATTATTATTATTATTATTTTTCTTTCTTCTCCGATTTCGTTGTTTTTCGGGTATATTTCGTCTTCTTCCAAGAAACTGCCTGTTTCCTCAGGTAGAGACTCTTCTGTTACTACTATGTTACTACTTTTCTTAATATGTGTGCTGTGCCTAATACTGTTGTTTTTTGTAGCTGGTATGTTGTTTTATGGTCAGCGTTACCAGGTATAGTTTTAAGAATATTTGTAAAGTTTTTATGAATTGTTCCTGTTGCTCCTATGATGACCGGTAATATTGTAGTTTTTAAGCCCCACATCCTACTTAGTTCTATTTGTAGATCTCTATATTTCAGTCTTTTTTCTGCTTCCTTTTGAGTAACTGAACTATCTGATGGTATTGCCACATCTATAATATAGCAGACTTTTTGGCCTAGGTCTTTGATTAATATATCTGGCTTATTGGCATTAATTGTTCTGTCTGTTTGTACTTGGGTGTCCCAGATTATTGTTATGTCATCTTTGGTTTCGACGCTTTTAGGAATATGGTCGTACCAATTTGTTTCCGTAATTATTTTGTAGTGTTTGCATATATTATAGTGCAAGCTTGTACATACTTTATTGTGGCGGGTAATGTATTCTTTGCTGGCTAATATTGGACACCCTGTCATTATATGCCTTACGGTTTCGTCATATTGCTTGCAGATGCGACATTTTGGATCTACATCTGCTTTATGTATTCTTTTTTTTTATGTAGTTTGTAGTTATTGCTTGATCTTGGGCTGCGGTTATTAGTGATTCGGTTTCTCCTTTGATGGATCCGTGCTTTAACCAACTGAATGTAAGTTCTTTGTTAATATTTTCATTTTTCATTTCTCTTGCATATTGCCCGTGCATTGCTTTGTTTGTGTATTGCTCTTCTCTCTTTTGTACAATTTTTCGTGTAATCTGTTTTTTTAGTATTTTAACATTTTCTGTCACTGTCTTTTCATTGTCTATATTTATATCCTCTTCGGTGTTTTCACGGATCAGTTTTCTTCCACGTTTAAGAATTGATTTTTCCGTTACTAGCTCTTCTTCATATTCTTTTAGTATTGATATGAGTCCGTCCTCACTCTTCAATTCTTAATATTTTGCTAGTCCGATAATTGTTAATTTATAAGTTTCTTCAATGCTTGTTAAACCTCGGCCTCCTGATTGCCTGGGAAGGTATAGCCTATCTACATCTGCTCTTGGATGTAGTAAATTATGGATCGTCAGTAATTTTCTAGTTTTGGTATCTATCTTCTGAATATCTGTTTCTTTCCAATTAAGAATACCAAAGCTATAGCCTAGTACCGGGACTGCAAGTGTTCCTATTGCTGTGGATTTGTTTTTACCCGTTAATTGGCTATTTAAAATCCACCGGACTCTTCTATAGTATTCTCTGGATACTTTCTTTTTCATATTTTCGTGCTCAATATCATCTTTTTCTTCTACTCCCAGGTATTTGTAGGGCGTATTTCCCGCTAGCTCTTTTATTTCCGTGTCTTTATCTAATATTACGCTTTCTGTTGTTTTTACCTTTCCTCGCTCTATGGTTATTTTTGCACATTTGTCTGTTCCAAATTTCATTCCAATATCGTCGCTAAAATCTTTTACTATTTTTATGAGGTGTTGTAGTTCTTCGTTATTTTTAGCAAATAGTTTTAAGTCGTCTACATAGAATAAATGATTTATTTGTTTTTTGTTATTCTTTATCTTGTATCCTTTATTTGTTTCATTTAGTTCACTTGTCAGTGGAAATAAGGCCATGCAAAAGAGAATTGAAAGATTCCTGACTTAATGTTGATTGATATTATTATTATTATTATTATTATTATTATTATTATTATTATTATTATTATTATTATTATTATTATTATTATTATTATTATTATTATTATTATTATTATTATTATTATTATTATTATTATTATTATTATTATTATTATTATTATTATTATTATTATTATTATTATTATTATTATTATTATTATTATTATTATTATTATTATTATTATTATTATTATTATTATTATTATTATTATTATTATTATTATTATTATTATTATTATTATTATTATTATTATTATTATTATTATTATTATTATTATTATTATTATTATTATTATTATTATTATTATTATTATTATTATTATTATTATTATTATTATTATTATTATTATTATTATTATTATTATTATTATTATTATTATTATTATTATTATTATTATTATTATTATTATTATTATTATTATTATTATTATTATTATTATTATTATTATTATTATTATTATTATTATTATTATTATTATTATTATTATTATTATTATTATTATTATTATTATTATTATTATTATTATTATTATTATTATTATTATTATTATTATTATTATTATTATTATTATTATTATTATTATTATTATTATTATTATTATTATTATTATTATTATTATTATTATTATTATTATTATTATTATTATTATTATTATTATTATTATTATTATTATTATTATTATTATTATTATTATTATTATTATTATTATTATTATTATTATTATTATTATTATTATTATTATTATTATTATTATTATTATTATTATTATTATTATTATTATTATTATTATTATTATTATTATTATTATTATTATTATTATTATTATTATTATTATTATTATTATTATTATTATTATTATTATTATTATTATTATTATTATTATTATTATTATTATTATTATTATTATTATTATTATTATTATTATTATTATTATTATTATTATTATTATTATTATTATTATTATTATTATTATTATTATTATTATTATTATTATTATTATTATTATTATTATTATTATTATTATTATTATTATTATTATTATTATTATTATTTATTATTATTATTATTGTCACAAATTCCAAATAATAAATATTTTCCAAATTTTATAAATTCACATTATTTAATAAATTCACCTAACATAGGACATTTACCTCTATTTCAAATTTCAGTAATATAATAATTTTGTAATAAAATACTTTTATTCTCAAGCAAATTAATGTAAATAATTTTTTAGTCTTTATAAGATATTTCCCTTCATGTTAAACAATAATAAAATCTGTTCATTTTGCTGATTTAACAATTTGTTATGTGTATAAATCAAATAGGTGAATTAACTGGAAAAAGATGCAAAATCAGCAGATGAGTCTTGAAGGTAAATGTTCTGACAAGAAAGATTTATTCAGGTTAGGCCTGGGTAACAGTAAAGAGCTCAGCTCTACTATTATTTAAAAAATAAAAATTTCAAGTAATAAAATAAAATAAAATAAACTAATAATTAAGAAGTTTGAGAATTCGTGAACGTGTCCCCACAGGAAAATTTTATGTGGTAAGAAATAATAATTTTTTAGTTATTTTGTCAATTAAACTTATATTTTATGTTTGGTTCCTAGTTTATCTCCCATTTATATTTTTTGTGTATGTAAATAATAACTATTGGATATGTTAATAAATATTTTTTAATAATTAGTAATTTTAATTCTTATTCCCTAAGCAGTAATTAAGTAACTTAAAAGTAAATAAATACCCCTCTCCAGGTTGTATTTTGGGTTGAGCGGACTTTATTCAAATTTTGGGAAAGTCCGGGCTACTCAGAATATAGCGTGGCGAGCTAGAGCTCGTGGTGGCGTCGTG